ATCCTAAACGTGAATGTGCTGAGCATCCAGCAGTGCGTCATGGTTCATGAATGTTGTGAATCCTTTGCGGTTGAAATGCCGAATTCAGTGTGTTTGAAATGAGCTGAGGAAAGAGAAGCGATGTTTTGTGAAAGTGAAAGGTTTGTATGCAATTGTTTTTCTTGCAGTCCTTGTGCGACCATGACGCTCCACAAATCAGACTTTTTTAAAAACGACACGCATTCGTCATGAAAATATGTTCCTTGCAATGGAAGTATGGAGGTAGGAGAGCATAGTAGTCTTGTTAAGTTCCTCCCAGGAAGCGGTGTGAGAACCCATGTGTTTTTGTCCGTGTTGCCTAGAGGATTTCAGTTGGAAAGGCTTGTCCGTGCTTGCCCAGCAGGTGGAGCCAAGTCCTAGCTGATGATAAATATTTGTGTTGGTGTGGAATAGCGAGATTTGGTTGTCATCCATGATGTGAGGCTACTGAGTGGGCCGTGAGGCTAGAGCTGCCCGTTTGGAGCTGGTGTCCGAGAGGGGGGGATCCTGTGGACGGCCAATGTTTGTCCTGGAAGCCCTTATGCTTTGTGGTCTGGAACGGAAGAATGAGTCCAGGGACAGAAAGTGTAGTAGCAAGTCTGTGGATTTGTGGAAGAACAAGTGCAGACTGCCACGTAAGGAGGGTGAAAAGGGTCCCAGTGGGTTCCTTTCCCTGTGGCGATCCTGGTGGGTGATATTCCCTGTGATTGCTCCGTACTCCCCTTGGGGTTGGTTCCCCTAGTAACTCCTGTTTTGCAAGGTTGACCCTCACCTGCCAGGGCTGTCCCCCCCTCATTCCCTGTGGGCGTTGTTTTGCATCTGAATGAAAGGCTTCCTTGTATGTATTTTGTAAATCTTGACCTTCGTGGTCTATTTGCATTTCCTTTGTGTTATGGAAATACAAGTGTTGCTCCGTAGTCTTGTGGAGATGTGAGTGCCCCTGGCTTGTTTTTGTTGTGGAAATGTCCCTTCTCCCAGTGTGCATCCCTTTTTTTCCCTCCTCGGAGCCCAATTGTCCAAAACGGCTAAGCCTGCCTTTATTTCCCCTGCAATATGTGTTTGAGTGTGAGCGCATCCCGGGCGAGCTGCTGTGAAGGAAAAAGTTGTTCCCATTTGGCATGTTCCCTGAGTCGCACAGTGAGCGTGTTTATTGTTTTGTATTTTCCCCCC